CTGGCAAGGTTCCTTCGGTACGTCGATGCCGGCATGGCGGCAAGGACCCACGCGGCCCCCGCCTGGCTGATCCCAGACCCGCAACCCTACATCATTGCATGATACTGACGTGGTCCTTCGCAACAGAATGACCAAATCGATGTTGCTCTGAACAGTTTCCTGGCCTCCAAGGCTCTCTCAAACCCTCCCGAGAAGCTCTCCCCCGAAGGCCGCGCACTGATTGCCGATGCGCGCGAAGTTGTCATCCAAGCCAAGAACCTTCTGTTGTCCAAGAACCAGGGCAACCTGATTCAAGACTTCATCTGGCAGACTGAGCAATTCGACCCCAAGGCTGTGGACGTTCCTGGCGCTCCCGTCAACAAGGAGGTCGCTCAGCAGCATGGCGACAAGGCGCTAGAGGGTCTGCGGACCCTTGGAACTTTGCTCATCACCAACGGACAGTTCCGCAAGCTTCGTGAGTCAATCAGCGATGTCCGCCCAATTGGTCACAATCTAACATTATATAGTCAAGGATGCCACCGTCCTTCTCCGGGACATGGCTGGCGATGCCGCTACCAACGCTGCCCAGCGGGTCCGTCCCTCCGGCGAAGCCCTTCAGGACATCGACCGCCCTGCTGAGGACAACACGTGGCACGATGCCCCCGACTTCTCCAAGGAGAACTTCAAGAAGCAGGCACAGGGTGTCTACAAGGGCTCTCCTGCCGATGATGCTCGGGAGGTCCTCGCTGCAGGCACTCAGGCCGCTCACCCCAACGGATCGCAGAACCCCCATGACCTGGCCGCGACTGCCGCTCGCGATCAGCAGCAAGGTACCAACTCGGGTGTAAATGCCCAGGGTGGCATCAACGCTGCCCGCGATGTCATTCAGAAGAAGTACAACGAGAACGTCGATGGCGAGACCAAGGAGCAGGCACGTCAGCGCAAGGAGGAGTACCTTCGTCGTTCCAAGGAGTACTTCAACAAGAAGATGCCCCAGGAGCGCAAGGACCAGACCATCTGGCGTTTGAAGAAGATGGTGCTTGAGTGTCAGCAGCACCCCGATTATTCCCAGGCCATTGAGACTCTTCTCAACCTCGCCGAGGAGTACGCCGGCCACTCCCGCACTCTGGCACAGGGTGGAACTGGTACCGTCAAGGACACCCGTGCCGGTCTCGCTCAGGCCGAGTCTGATCTCAAGACGCTGCTCGAGCGCTTCGCCAACGGTACCTCGACCGAAGACTTCTTCGAGTCGATCAACCAGATCTACCGCGATGCTGACAACGATCGCGAGCTGAAGGACTGGTTCAAGGCTATGGACCGCTACGTCCGCCGCTGCCTTCTCGAGCAGGGATACATTCTGGACGAGGACTCCAACCAGGAATGGAACCACTTGTACGACCATGGTCGTTACTTGCTTCGCGAGAAATACCGCGCTCACACCGACCGTGTCTTTGACGAGATCAAGTTCTTGATTGACCAGTTCGATCAGGACCCTCTCAACAAGCGCTTCGGCTTGGCCGTCCAGAAGCTCTTCACCGATCTGGGCAATGACGAGAACGGCAAGCCTACCTTTAAGCCTCACTTGCTGAAGGATCTCTCGGAGGTCATCATTCCCGGCATCTTTGAGAACGTTGCCTACATCCCGGTCCCGCGCCTCGAGTACAGCGACCCTCAGTTCGATGCTGTCATTGAGAACCTTGTCCTCGAGTCTGACAACTTCATGCCTAACGTTCTCGAGATTAACAGCGAGAACTACTTCCTTTGGGGACGCAAGAAGATCGCCAACAAGCACAAGCAATCCTTTGAGGTGAAGGTTGCTGGTGTCCAGCTTGATCTCCGCGACGTCAGCTACCACGTCAAGCGCAAGCAGGGCTTTCCCTCTATCACCGACACTGGTGTCGCCGACATTCTTCTCGCTGGCGATGGCTTCTCTTTCAAAATGAAGCTCTCCTCTGCCGATAAGAATGACAGACAGAACTTCTTCAAGGTTGACAAGGTTGATGTTGACATCAAGCACATGAGCATCAAGCTGAAGCAGTCTAAGCACAAGCTTCTATTTGGTCTCTTCAAGCCCATCATGCTCAAGGTCCTTCGCCCTGCTCTTCAGAAGGCTGTCGAGAAGGCCATCAAGGACCAGGCCACTCAGCTCGACAGCATCATGTACCAGGTCAAGCAGGAAGCTGATCGTGCCCTTGATGAGGCTCGCTCTAACCCCGAGAACACTCCCAATATCTACAACCGGTATGCCACCGCTATGCAGAAGCGCGCTCTCCAGGCCAAGCAGAAGGCGGACGAGGTTACTGCCGACAAGAAGGTCAACTACGCCATTACCAAGGAGGATTCCATCTTCCCCAACATTCACCTGCCTGGAGGTATCAGCTCCAAGGCCACTGAGTACAAGGAGCTGGCTCGTAAGGGTGAGCGTTGGGAGAGCCCTGTCTTCGCCATTGGTAAGGCAAACAAGTCTACCGACATCCCCGATGCTCCTCGCATCGAGCGCAAGAAGCACGGCCTTCCCACCCAGCAGGGCCAGTATGCTCCTCACGCCCCCGGCCAGGTCAACGGTGGTGACTTGAACACCATCCCCACTTCCGACTACCCGACTGCTGGTTACCCTACCTCCAGCTATGACGCCCACCCCAACGGCGGTCTTAACGGCACCGTCAACACTCTTTCAACCCCTGCTCACGTCAGTGGATACTAAGTGTAGACCTTAATTCTTTTCCTTTGTGTCAGACATGGATCAAATGATGAGTTGATGGCAAACGAAAAGGCTTATACCCGGATGGAGAATTCAGTTTGGGTCAACAGGCGGCGGAAGCTTAATGATGCAGTCCCTTAGTAATAATTCTTCTTTAGTTCAATTGCAATGGTTTCAATCAGGATCCTATAATATTCTTGCCTACCTATTTGACGTGAATCATTGCGCACTCTACATTGTGGAACTTGTGCAAGTGCTCAATGGTCTGGACGTCGCAATTCGTACATCTCATTTAACCCAACCAGGTTTAAAGCGACGTCCAACCCATGTCAGTCGGCACAAGCGCGCCGTTGATGGTGTTCATCCCACCAGAACACAAGCTCACCACAGTCTTTGATACCTGATCCAGCGGCGACCATCCTAAATCCCAACCGCCCTTGGCAGGATCACCTTGGCAGGTGTTGAAAGTCGACACCACTGTTGGGCGAGGTCTCGTTAGCAATCAGACACATGGTAGTATACGAGTGCTCGCTGGGAGATGGTGTCTTACCCATGGCGAGGCCTTCGGGGTGGAACTCTTTGATGTGTTCCTCATCCCTGGCCATGTTCGTCATCATGGGACCGGGCATGATGGCCAGGCACCGGATGCCTTTGGGGCCGTAAAAGGCTGCTGTGCTTCGCGTCAGGCCGACTGTGCCGTGTTTGGAGGCCGTGTACGCGACGCCTTTGTTGTGGTTTTGGTGGTCAGCTCAAGATTCTATTTCATGCAGATTCCCATATTGTCTCGTGACCCGTTTCTTTCAGAAGGTGAATTCTTCGCCCCCATTCAATGATCATATGGTGGTTGGGGTGAGATAGAATGACATAAGAGGAGATGAAATGAGATGATGATGAGATTTGAAGGATAGTTCGAACTCACCTGCTCTCGCGCCGTGAACTCCCGCGGCACTAATAACATTCAAAATCACGCCCCTCTGCCCGTCCACGGGCTCCTGCTTCAAGAACTGCTGGATCGCGCGCTGCGAGGTGACGAAGCTGCCCGTCATGTTGACAAGGATCTGGCGGTCCCACATGGCTATGGGACAGTCGGCTGTGGGGTGCATCAGGTCCGAGATGCCGGCGTTGTTGACGAGGACGTCGAGGCGTCGTTTACCTTTGTCTACTGCACTATCTTCTCCCCCGTCAATCCAGGAAGAGATTGCGGCGGAGACGGAGGCCGGGTCGGTGATGTCTGCTTTCACGGGGTGCAGACGAGCACGGAGATCCGGGGCGTCGTCGAATTTGGAGGGGAGAGAGGCGAGAGAGGCGTCGGAGATGTCGAGGGCTAGGACTGTTGCGTTTGCGGCGAGGAAGTGGCGGGTTAGGGAGAGGCCTAGGCCCGAGGCTGCGCCTGTGATGAGGACTGTTTTTGAGGTGTAGTCTGTGGACATGGTTTCTGTCGGGGGAGAGTTGGCGATGTATGGGTGTTTGACGAGTTCTTTCACGGGGATGGGGTTCAAGAAGAGCAGGTTCAAAAAGAGCGAACTCGAGAAGAGCAAAATGAGTGCAAGTAGTTTCTATTGACAATATATACACGAGCTGTGGATTCCGTTAGGTTCTCGGTTTTGGTGGACTTTGACGAGTGAAGTGAAGGAGACTGAATGCCTCTGAGCATGAAGCATCGATATCCGACCTGCATCACAAAGAGAATCCGATACCGAGAACGACGGGAGCGTACGACGACGCGGGAAGACAAGTTGACTGGCTGGATGTCTGCTACTTATTGTATGCCAATGCTGTATCAGCAGGAACATATGCACAACCGGCAGCAATGCAACCAACCTTTTGATCCAGGACGTGGTTCGGCGGGATGTTGATGGTCCCCGAATCCAACCTCCGCATCGCGCGCATCGCACTGCTCGGATTCAGAGTCGCTGACGCGTTAGTCCGATGCGTAGGTTGGAGCACTCCATACAGAGCTGAAAGACAGGGTTTGGTGGTCTGGGAAATTATCAGACGTACACAGAAGACCCTTATTGGGGGACGACGAAGCGGGACGGGGAACGGAAATGACTTCGTAGTAATCCTTCCCCGCATTATCCATGCATACACGAATTCCGGGGAGCACGGGAGAGCTACATACGGGAGGGATGATTGTTGGTTGGGTGTAAATACACGTATTCGATGTAACCTCGGTGCACAAGGGGAACCTCCGCGACGGTGGCTATATCGAATTGTGAAGACAATCTTAACGTGACTTCAATTGCAAGTCTGCTTTGCGTACAATTACAAGTATCCTTCTACCCTAACGACATCTTCATTTCCATCAAGCGAGCCTTACTCAATTGCTCGCCTGCAGCTGGTTCGGATCCGTCTGCTTGCTCTTTATCCCCGCCAACCCCGTCTGCCGGTTCGCATCCCGTCCCGTCGTGTTCTCCAGATTCCGCTCGCTCGAGGGTTTGGGACCCAGGCCGGGCGTGATGGACGGTCCGCCGCCGCGGGTGACGGAGTCCGCGACGCCTGCTGCGCGGTCTGGGGCGCCGGTCAGAAAGGCGAAGGTGCCGCCCAGGGCTGCGGCGGCGCCGAGGACGAGGTAGAGTGCACTTCTACGAGACCGATCACGTTAGTTGTATGGACACCAAAGAATGACTTGAAGCTGTGATGAAGGGCGGAAAAGAGTGAAGGCTTGCCTGTTGCTGATTTCATCTGGCTTGGTTCCCACCTTGGGGTTTGATGGGGACGGAGCCGGGCGGGACGATGCTGAACCGGACGGGTTTATGGGGTTTGGTGCTGGGGGCTCCTTGACGGCGTAGCCCCGGCGGGTTGCGACTTGTGCGGAGGTGCGGAGGATGGGGTTTCGGAGGGCCGATTGGAGGCGGAGAGCTCTTGATGATGACATGATTGGTTATGTGTGTTTTTAATCGTGTGTTGCCAATTGGATGTTGGTTCTTATCGCGAGATGTATAGGTGTTTTGGGGATCCTTTTGGTTCTTTCCAGTTCTTTCCAATGGACAGCTGCGAGAATCAATGAACACTTATGTTGGTTGTGTGGTTTTGCGTCCCTTAGACGGCAATGTGGATTTGCGGTGTTATATGACCGTGGCGCGACATGGCGTTTTGGAGGTGCTCGGTTATGACGAGCGATGATGTCGATGATGCACCTTTCCGGGGCCCCTTTGTAAGGACGTAGGTGCATCCATCTCACTGCCAGCATCAGACAGTTTCAAGGCTCGTGTGATTCTACGGTCCAGGCACACCTCAGGCACAGATCTTTCCATTCCAACGCAGGAACTCGTCCAATGATGCATCAGGCTAGGTCGATGATTCATCAATGTTAATGATGTACCTTGCGGGTGGGGATATCAGAATGTTAGCCCCTGGCAAGATCTGCAGTAGCCTAAGACCCTGAGCTGTCGCGGAATCAGCCGTCTGCTCTCGACTTCCTCTGCCCTCTGTGATCCATTGATCAGAAATCAGTGCTAGGTATTACACAGTAGGGAGGTAGGCAGTATACCCAAATACACCCAACCCATCTAGACGTGAACTTGTCCCATGCTCTCTGTCGGGCACACCCGCCCACCCACGTCTACCGGTTCCTTAACGCCGCGTGAATCCCGTTATACGTCCAGTTCAACCTCATCCGATCAAGCTGCGCCTGCGCCGACATATCCGTCACGTGCCTCGAGTTCTGCTGCACTTGCGACGCGCGCGGCCTGCGCACCGAGTCCCACGTTCGCAGCGCCAACGTGATGCTCTCCAGGTCATCGGCGCGGACACTCTCATGGAGAAGCAGCCGTAATCCTTCGGCGTCCTCGATAGCCTGTGTCGCGCCTTGGCCCTGGAACGGCGTCATCGGGTGCGCTGCGTCGCCGACGAGGACGGCGCAGCCGCGGGTGTAGGTTGGGAGCGGGTCTGCGTCTTTGACCTTGTAGAGGTGGATGTTTTGAGCGTTTCTTGAGGTGCTTGGTGTGAGCGACTCTCGTTTTATGTGTCTGATTGATTGTGAGGTGACGATGGAGGGACAAGACTTACTTCATAATCGCCAGCATCCACGGCGCAAAGTCGAAAAAGTGATCCAGCATCTCCTCCGCGCTCCCCTCGGCGTTCCAAGACGTGATGCTCTCCACCGAGAGCATGGCGTCGGGGATCCTCGCCACGACGTTGAGTAGCGTCATGTCACGGCAGGGATAAAAGATGATGTTGCGGTGCGTCTCGTCGTCGGCCGTCATCATGTTGAGAAAGTTGCTGTTGGACGGGTCTATCGCCGCCGGGTACCCTCCCTGGATATCCCTCGCCTTCTCAAGCGGGAACGTGAACCGGTAGAGTGAGGCACCCGGTGATACCATGTGAGATGGCCCGCCGAGGACAGCTTGTCGGACGAGGGAGTGGATGCCATCTGCGCCTGAGCATGTCCGTCAATTACTGGATACCTGTGCAAAAAGTCTGATATGGTCCCATGCATGTGTGTAGTCTTACCAACAATCACATCAGCTGTTACCTCCTCCCCATCCTTCAACTTCACCTTCCCCTCCTCAACATCAACACCGACAACCTGAACCCCCTGCACAACCGTAGCCGGCGGTCCCGAAATCCCCAACTTGGCCGCGTCCCCCGTCGCGAGCCTCAACAGCTCGTCCCGCAAGTCGCCGCGATGCATCAGGAGCCACTCGCTCCCGAACGGCTCCGATACGCCCGTCATCTCTCGTAACAGATTCCCTTGCTTATCGTACGTCCTCGAGCCGGCGCAGATCGTGGCCTTGACGTTTTCGGGGCTGAATTGAAAGGCCTTTTTGAGCATCTTCGTGCCGTTGGGACCAAGGCCGATGCCGGCGCCGCGCTCCGGGGCGGAGGCGGGGAAGGAGGAGGATGAGGTCGGATCGTCGCGGTCGTAGACTGTCACGTCGTGTTTTTGACGGAGGACGGCGGCGGCGGAGAGGCCTGCTATGCCGCCGCCTATGACTATAACTCGTAACTTGTTGCTTGTCATTATATCTGTATCCCTTCTGTTTTATCTGATTTCACTGGGTGGCATCGCGCTCTGGACGCGACGTTGAGAGGTTAACATGTGAGATTAGATGACTACAGCTGAACAGAGGAGTTCAATTGTCACCGCGGAATTCTATTCCTAATACAGTCGGCTTAGGTAGGAAACCTCTTTCCCGAGCAGACTTTGGCAGAGTTTTACTTGCTGAGACATCAAACGAAATTCTATTCATAGTTGCGGTTTCTTAGCCTGATGTTTGCCTAGAGGGATGACAAAGGTTATTGAGGAATTGCGGTGCTCGAACTTGGCAAGAAAACTCAAATGGGACCTGAGTTTGGCTCGGGGAGCGAATGAAATATAAGCCCGATGAGACCCTTGTTGTTCCACACGCGCAAGGTCCCTGTCGTGTTTCTTGTCGTTGAAATGAAGGGAACCTCGGATCCGGGTAGCCCAGAGTTGGTGATGTCAGTTTGTGGTCTGAGTGATGCTAGTGGTACGCTGTATCAGGGATCATATTCCGCCCGATCGGGAGCCGGCGCGGGCTAAACGTGTGCCGTCTGGGGGAGTTCGACCTCCGGCTCTTCATCTTTGGGTAACAAGAAATCGACCGCTGAGCTTAATGATGGATATTTTGGGATTTGAGAAATATTAGAATCACAGCATACTTCAAAAGGGCGAAATGATTGGATCGAAAGAGAGCGAACGGCCTCAACGTCTGGGACAATGACTCATTTCCGTCTTCTTTGTCGCGCGTTCGTAGACAATTTAAATGTCAACAAACAAGAAAGAGATGTTGCCTTCTTACCTAGAAGAGTTTGAAGAGAGAGTTCAAATGCTTAGACATCAAGGTTCTCGAAGAAACGGCCACAACAGTAAGCCGGACACCTTTCCCCCCCCCCTCGGGCCGTCTTGGAAGACCCACTTTCGCGCTCCGACTCGGCGTTCGTCGGAGGGCGAGGCCCACAGCGCACCATGCCAGTCAGAGAAGAAGGTCGTCTCGGCCCCGGTTTTGGGCGTATTGAAGGAACATGCGCCGCAGGATTGGTCATCTTTCCTCAGTAGCTTCCCAACGCCGCATGCTGCATTCTCGCAAGAGTCACCACTCCGATCCTCCCTAGCTAGATCGGTGCCTTCTTAGCCGCGGACTTTTCTATCGGGCGCATCATGATGATTGTGAAACTCCGCTGCCTCGTGGAGAATGAATGTATTTGACGTGAGTCGATATCTCGATTTTCGAAGGTGTAGTTTCTGTGTATCACTCAACTACTGTATCAACACTCAAACATCTAAACAATCAATCTCACAATAATAACATCGATAATGGCACGAGCAATTCTGGTTTGTGGCGCGACTGGAAAGCAGGGCGGCGCAGTCATCAACCACCTCGTCGAACAGAATGCCGACTTTGAGATCCTCGCCGTCACCCGCGACGCAACCTCCGGATCCGCCCAGCGTCTCTTGAAAAAGTCGTCCAAAGTTCATCTCGTCCAGGGTAACTTGGCCGACCCGACTGCCCTTTTCAAGACTGCGCAAGATGTTGCCTCGTCTCCTATCTGGGGAGTCTTCAGTGTCCAGGTACCTACAAAACTCTCACCTTTTGATAGCGAACAATACGTTTCTGTTGTGTGCACAAACTTGGCTGACATTGATGTGCATTCCAGGTCCCAATGGGCTTCGGCCAAGGTGGAGGCGGCGAACTAGGCCAAGGCAAAGCCCTCGTCGACGCATCCCTCAAAGCAGGCGTCAAATTCTTCGTCTACACCTCCGTCGAGCGTCACGGCGCAGACAACGCGACGAATGTGCCTCACTTCGCCCACAAGCACGAGATCGAGCAGCACCTCTTCAACAAGTCCAAGGGCACCGACATGGAGTGGGCCGTCCTCCGCCCCGTGGCTTTCATGGACAACCTCACGGACAACCTCTTTGGGAGGGTTTTCACCACCTCGTGGCGCATGGCGGTCAAAGGGAAGCCGCTGCAGCTTATTGCTGTCAGCGACATTGGCTACTTTGGCGCCGAGGCGTTTCTTCACCCTGAGAAGTACAAGGGCCGCGGGGTCTCGCTTGCGGGCGACGATTTGACGATTGAGCAGTTTGCTGCGGTGTTCAAGAGGAATACGGGCAAGGAGCTGCCTGGGACGTATAGGGTCTTGTGTTGGCTGATCATGACGATGGTGAAGGACTTTGGGTACATGTTCAAGTGGTTCCACGATGTTGGGTATGATGTTGACATCGCGGCGCTGAGAAAGGAGTATCCTGGGCTGAAGGACTTTGAGACTTGGCTGAAGGCGGAGAGCGAGTACGCAGGTAGTATTCGGTCTTGAGGAGAGCGTTTGGAATCACGTCACAGATGCGTCCTGGGTAGAAGAAAGCAAGAGCCATTGTAGTAATACGGCTTATATTGTAATAATCGAAGAGAAATGGTCTATATGGAATTTCAACGATGAAGCATGTGTCAAGCTTGACGGTTCAAAAGGTAGCATCGGCTCTCTTAACAAACCTAACTATCGTCTTTTATTTATTTGCAATCATATCCAAAGTTATGTTTAATGCTCAAGAAGGATGTTCAATGCTCAAGAAAGAAGAAACTATATTTCTTACACATTGTGAAAATTTCCGAAACTGAACAAAAAGATTCGCCGCAGACGAGACGTAATTGGACCATGCCCTTTGATATCCCGTTAACGAATCTACTTATACTAAGGTAAGTGATTCGTGAGCCCTGCTTGAAGGATAGAGGAAGGACCTAGATAGCGGTACTCCTATCAAGCGCACTTGTTCAAGAGATCGAGGAAGTGGAATCGAAGAGAAGACTTGCAATTAGAATCAGGATATTGATAGTCAAGCTTCTAACATAGGGCGTATCCCCACCCACGTGGCACCGGTCTCCGACGAAGGCCGACTCGCACTCAATGTAGCCTTGGCAAGAGTAACTTCGTCTCTATCCCCGAAGATGTACGTGTACCTCAACTTCCACGTCATTGTTTCTTGCTTATCATATCAGAATTGAATTTGATGAGATTCTGACCGACGGCTGAAAGTCCGGTCCTTGGTGGAACAGTGTTTGTAAGTCGGGAATCCCGCCTTCCAAAGGCCCACATCGTGGGCCGATGCTCAGAGCCGAGACGCAACTGCTTGATTCATGGCATGCTTGCGTAGACTCGTCAAAGGCAAGAGAATGGAAGTATAGGAACACGACAAAGATACGTACTGCATGTGACTGCAAATCGGGCTGTAGCTATAAAGTCGAGCGATGCTCGTGTGCGTGTCTAGCCTCCCCCCTCACATCCCACAGACTGAAAATCATCATCTTCCTCAACACAGGCCAACCCGCCAGACTCAACCCGAAAACACGTCTTGTATCTTCAGCATGTCTAAACTTCTCACCATCTTCGGAGCCACTGGCAATCAGGGCGGTTCCGTCGTGAGAGCAGCCCTCGCCGACGCCGTTCTATCAAAGGAGTACAAAATTCGTGGCATCACTCGGGACATCTCTAAGCCCGCAGCTCAAGCTTTAGCCAGCAAGGGCGTCGAAGTCGTTTCTGTATGATCCGACTACTATCATTCTTGATGTAGACTGAGAGATTTCTAACATGGGGAAAGGCCGACATGAACTCAAAGACCTCTCTCGCCGAGGCGATCAAGGGCTCCCACACAGTCTTCTTTATGACCACGCCCAACTTCACGAGCGGCGCCAGCGAAGAGCAGGCTCATGGCAAGAACGTGGCCGACGTCGCGGCCGAGACCGGCGTCAAGCACCTCATCTACTCGTCTCTGCTGCACGTCACCGAGACCACCAACGGCCGCCTCAAGCATGTTGTTCACTTTGACGACAAGGCCGAGGTCGAGCGCTACATCCGCGCCAAGGGCATCCCCAGCTCCTTTGTCCTGCCGGGGTACTTTATGAGCAACTTCTCTGCACTGCAAATGATTCGCAAGGGTGAGGATGGGGTCTACAACCTGGCGTATCCTGTCAGCGACAAGGCCAAGTTCCCTCTCATCGACACCGAGTCCGATGTTGGTGAGTGATTCCTAGAAGCGCTCAGTCCGATGCTAATACCTTCATTTTGTAGGCAAGTACGTGGTCGCGGCAATCCGCAATGAGAGCATCCTCCTCGGCAAGCAGATCTTGGCAGCTGAGGACTACTACACGCCCACGCGGATCGTCGCCGAGTTTGAGCAAGTCACTGGCAAGACAGCCCGTTTCGTGCCCGTCGACGCTGCGACGTACAAGTCCTTCTTCGCTGGTCCGATGGCTGCCATGGCTGACGAGATGCTCGAGAACCACCTCTTTATTGACGAGCCCGGGTACTATGCCGGTAAGGACTTGAAGGAGAGTCAGGAGCTTTTGGCTGGCGTTGGGCTGAAGGCGACTACTTGGAAGGAGTTCTTGGAGGCGAACAAGGCCGCTTTCCCGTAATTGGATTGGGGAAAAGGACACCTGATTTGAGGAACACAATGCTGGAAAACATGTTGACATAATTTTGAGGTAGTGTCCCAGCGTGGTGTAGACGTTACCATATATACACAGTCTTACTAAGATGATTCCCGAGTAGATCCTGTGCTCATATGGTTCGTGTCTCAAATCCAGTGCCTGTACAGCGACGTGGAATCGGTATACAATGGCTCACGGCTCAGTTTCAAGCACTAGCAGGGGCCACGAAAGCGCCTCTTGCCAGTAATTACCCAAATGCCTAGCAACGGCGCGGATAATGAAGGCGCCAGCGTCAGCAAAGGGCCAAAAGGTACGACAACGGTGCAGCAAGACGCCGTAATGTGCCAGAATGATGAGTGCCTCGGGACGGTGCTTCCGCAGCATATCGACGAAGCCGACCGGCACCTTTACAGAGAACGACGACGCGGCCTGGGCGTAGTCTCCTTCGTCGAGGACGCGGCAAATGTCGAAGCACCACTGCAGAAGCCCGATGACTTCGTGGCACGCTCTCGCGCTCGAATCACTGAGGTCGGAGTCATTTAGGAGGCGTTTCAGAGACCCGCATTCGTCGCCCCTCGTGCTCATCCTCTTCTCGGCCTCGAGGATGACGTTGAGGACGGGTGCGAGCTCGGTGTCTCGGAGGAAGTTCCGGGCCGGCAGGGTGACGGACTTGACGCCGCGGTTGAGGTTGAAGCACTCGACGAGGCGGTCGATGAAGGACTTGAAGTCGGAGCGGTAGTGAGCGAGGGTGTCGGCGAGGACATGCCTGCCCAGGATGGCGGAGAAGAGGAAGCGAGGGACGGCGGTGACCTTGTCGTCTCTGGCTACTGTTTCCGTGAGGCGGGTGAAGGATGAGAGAGCGCGGTTCTGGAGCTCTGTGGCGAGGTCGTGGAGATGGGCGGATGACCCGGGATAGAGCTGGACCATGTGGAAGGCTGTGAAGGCGAGGATCTCGTCGAGGAGGTAGGGTGAGTCCACGGCGCGTCGGACGGCGATGTCGAGGGCGCTTCGGGCTGGGCCGGTGAAGTATGGGACTGAGGCTGCATGGTGTAGCAATATCATGTGCTGTGGTGTGTAGATGGCCTCTGAGGGTGCGTTTGGCGTGCCTAATATTGACAAGCCGAGCTGGCAGTCTAGAGATGGAGGAGGAGCATGGGTGCCGCTCAGCTGCGTCGTCGAAGCTGGGGATTGAGTCTGGTCACTCTGATGAGAACTAAGGCCGAGACCAACCGCGGCTGGCACATCTGCAGGCCTTGATGGCATGCCATGAGACGGATAGCTTGGCGCATGAGTGAGTTCGGATGAGTTGCTTTGTTGACGATGAGCTGGTTGTGAGGGCAGCTGTGCGCGCTCAATCAGCGCATTCGCACCATTGTTTGTATTGCAATGACTACTTCCTCTGGAGCCTGGTGATGGTGATCGGGCGTTTCGCTCCAATGTGCCCTGTGACCTTTCGCCTTGTGATTGAGGTTTTTGTGCTTGTCTGCGCTTCTGCTTGCTCACTTTTGGCGGTGGGAAGAAACAGGCACGTTCTGCCACCTCGCAATTCGCGCATGAGGGCTGACGCTCGTCGCAGCGAATGTGACGGCGCTTGCACTCTGCGCATCCATTCCGAGACTTCTTGTGAGAGCGGCGAGTCTCTTGGGCCCTGGCGTTGTCTGCCACTGTGCTTCCGGTGTCGCTCGAATCGTTGTGACGCGCTGAGGCGCGAGTTTCTCGAACCATGCTGTCGTCGCGCGGGCGATTCTCGTCAAGCACCGTTCCCCGTGGAACGCGCGGAGCTCTTAATCCCAGTCAGTGGCCCCTTTTCAGCTGTCGGCATTCGCGATTCATGAATGTGCGTCCTCTCAAGAGCTTGATGCGTTCTAAGTTCCAGAACCACTGCACTAAGAGTGGACGAGCGGAAGGTATTCCATTGATATGACAATTGAGGAAAATTCCTTGATCAGCCCCCGTACGCAAGCATCACAGCACAGCCCCGCCTAATTGAACGCATAGCCACATCCTCGGATTCCCCCCATCAAAAACAGCCAAGCTAAGCTACTAGGTAGTTTTCTACATGGAATGCGCTACAAGCTTAGTCATACCTAGATACCACACAAAGACTGCCGAATGAGAGAAGTTGGAAATGTAGATTATTTGCGACCAACTGGCATCAAGTGTTCAAATTCATTCTATTGTTTCTTTGCATGGTTTCACAGAGTAGGGAAACTGTCACAAACGGCCATTAATACGAAAGAAATGGTACAATAAGGGTGTTCAAAGCTAACTTGTATCCTGCTCCCTACATAATCTTCTCATTACCTACCTATGTCGTGATAGCTTCAATCATTTGAACCCTCACTACCCGTCACGTGACCCGACTTCCATTTTTCACGACCCACACTCGCTCTCGCATCCTATTCCTGCGCGGGGTCTCTCGGAGAGGCCCGAAGCTCGTTGCCTCTTGAAATATCAGCCCTGTGGGCTTGATTGTGTCTACCCTGGGAGACCCAAAGAACACATTCCTTTCAGTAGATATGGACGCATCTTCGGGCCGACTTGGAGAACCCGAGGTACCATTCACTAAGTAGATCACACCTGAACTCCCAGAGCCATGAGTCCATGAGATTGAGAGATCCTCTCACTATCCTGGTCCGGTCGATGTCTACCTCTCTCTGGCTCTTTCTGAAGCTACTCTGGGCTTGTAGAAGGCACATCTGGGCTCAAACGAGTTGAGTACTAATTCAAGTATCAAACAGTAAAGATCGACAATGGTTTCTATCGCTTCTGTGAATAGTCGCTGAGCTTTATGGGAAATGGCTTACAGCTTGCATGATCAAACCGTTTTAAAGTAACATGGAAAGTATGTGTACACTTGCCAAAAAGTGTGGGTTCGATGTTGGTCGCTATCCTCTGTAAAGAGAAGGTTTCCTAGTAAGATAGTCCTGCTAAGTAGTATGTCAGCACACTTGAGGTTTACAAAATGGACATAAGCCCGGACTTGATGACCCAGACACAAATTAACCTTACTTGCTAAATGACCCACCAGACGCACCGCAGTGAGCGGGACAGGGGTGAGTCCTCACACTCCAAGTTCCTGAGCACTCCGTAAAGTGACAACCGGCAACGATAACCATTGGCAACTACCTAAAGAGGCAAATATTCCCTCGGAGGTACTTAGTCACCAGCGAGTAACATCATTTCGACTTCTTGGTCAGGGTCTAGTAATCTTCTAGCACTTCATATAGAGTCTAGCGTTGATTCTGGACACAAGGCTTGAGAAGACTAGCTCCCCGCAAGGCCGCCTAAAATCTGCCGAAATCCAATTCATGGCCAGTTGACCTGGTATACACCAACAGTGAAGACAGCCCATGACGAAACGGATGCTGGTTTGGAGCACCTTTTGAAACCAAACAGAACCATCGCATGACCTCGCTGAGTTATTGCAATGTCTTGCCGATTTTTACGTAAGGGTTCTAGACTGCGAGAATATGTGCTCTCTTTTCCTTGTGCCCTGAACTCGTTCTGGAATAAAAAGAAGCGTAGTGGCATTGACTGAGTTCCCTCTCTTCTTGCTACAAGTTCAATGGTCCGGAGGGGCTGATGTCATACCCGTTGTCGGCCGAGTGCAGCCACTATCATTGCCAATGACAGGGCCTCAAACCTATCCGAGGCTTCAATCAGCTTTGATAGGCAGGTCCGGTAACCACGGTAGCTGACAGTAGTGCATGTTGCCTTAGCGGATAAAACCATGGGAACTTGCTCACGTTGTGGTTCCTCACTTTCTTGATTGCCTCCACTCATTCTGGAGCAGAGGCTTGGCATGCATATCTCCTGAAGTGAGTGGCCGGTATTGGCTATATAAGCTGCTCTGCTTCCTCAGGATAAAATATATTCAGTTCCCATGGTGTAGGTTCATTTTCATACCCGGCGTCATACTTTTTCAACCTTTTCATCTGCCCAGTCGCGACTACGGCTGAAGGCACACTGTCTCAAACTCGCTACACCTTACCAAACAGGCGTAGCGATGGTCAAACCAAGCGTTGGAGGCTTGTTAGCTCATGCCGGTCTCTTGGTTGAACTCGTCAATGGCATGGCAGACTTCCAGCAGCACTGCGAGTCCTTCACGTCTTCAGCTGGTGGTGTCTGTTTCACGTCAGAGTACATCACGTCCGGAACAGAGCTCGCTCTCGCCGAAGCCGATGCCACGTGCGGCATCTTCACTCAGTCTGTATCGGTCAATCTTTGCCGCATTACGGCTCATGTCCCTACCTCGAACCGTTCCGGGTTCTGGTTTGAGGCATGGCTGCCCGAGGACTGGTCTGGGAGGTTCCTTGTGACAGGCAACGGCGGACTAGGCGGCTGTATCCAATACTACGACCTCGAATACGGTGCCTCTCTCGGTTTTGCAACCATTGCGACCGGCAATGGACATCAGGGGTACACTGGAGCCCCCTTTCTCCACAATCTCGACGTCATTCAGGACTTTGCCTACCGCTCCATCCAGAATGGGGTTGCTGTTGGCAAGGAAATCACTCAAGAATTTTACGGAGCGGCCCATGATAAGAGCTATAACCTCGGATGATCAACTGGCGGACGTCAAGGACTGAAGACAGTCCAGCCCTTTCCTGACCTGTTCAATGTTGTCGTTGTTGGAGCGCCTACTATTGTGTGGAACAACTTGACATCGGGGCTATTCAGTTTTATCCCCTTCTTGGGACGCCCGAGTCTGCGAACTTGATTCCTCTGGACATGTAGGCTATCATTCATCAAGATATTCTTGACCAGTGCGATCAGCTTGATGGGGTTGCAGACGGTATCTTGGGGTCGCCTAACCTCTGCAACTACAAACCTGATGGCCTCTTGTGCACTGAAACTCAAAGCACTGGCTGCCTTATGAGTACCCAACTTGAGATGCTCAAGAGCATTTACTCACCTGTGCTGGATGCAGCCGGAAGCCTGGCCTACCTCAAGATGCAGCTTGGATCCGAGTTTACCGGAGCGGTGGACAGTTGCTTCTCCAGGGCAGTCTCATCCGTGTCGGATTGGTATCGTTATGCCATTTCCAACGACTCCAGCTGGGATGCCATGCCCCTCCGTCCGGAGAACTACACCGTTGCTTCTGGTCTTAACCACTTCAACATCGATACCTGGGATGGTGATTTATCGGCTTTCCAGAACCGTGGTGGCAAGCTTCTCCACTGGCGTGGTTTAGCCGATGGCGTTCTGTCGAGTGAGAATTCCCCTCGATGTTACGAACATGTCCCGCAAACCATGGGCATGAACTCAAAGGCTCTTGACAAATTCTACCAATTTTTCCGTATCTCTGACAGGTCCCATTTCGACAGCGGTAATGGGGCGACCTTTATCGGCCACCAGTCAGCAAGCACTTCCAGTTTGGCACCGGAGGAAAACGTGCTGATGGCGATGGTTCGATGGGTTGAGAGCGAAGTGGCTCCAGACACCATAATGGGGACCTGGTACAAGAATGGCACCAGTGACAGTGGTGTTGATTTCAAACGTAGACATTGCAGGTGGCCATACCACAACGTGTACCGAGGCGTTGGCGACCACAAAGATCCTGGTACTTGGAAGTGTGTGCTGTAAGTAAGTCTAGACAAATCAGGTCTGCTGGCGCGTGATTACAGTCAAAGAAACAAGTCAAACAACAGCAGCATGAGCTCCTTTGTCCTACAATATGACTATTGCCTTTATGTTGTGACAGACAAGTGCCAAGGAGAATACTCACTGGCTCACCGCCTGAGGCACTCAACAAAGGAACCTTCCTTCCCTGTCTGTAAGGCAGCTCAAATGGGACGGAAGTTGATCCGTCACATTGTCCTAGCTACCTTCCTTCTCTATCACCGTCTCAACCTGGTAAACAATCGCGGCAACTTTGACTTCCTCGTCTCATACACCAGACGATCTACCTCGGACGGCACAATCCCAATAAAGCGATGAAGTGCTACAAACGAATTTGATCGGAGCAATTAGTGCTATAAAGAAGAATGCTCTAAGCAGTTCAGTGCTGCATAAAAATATGCTCGAAGAAATCGTCAGTTCTTCTTATCAGAACAAACGCGCGAACCATCTAGTTTTCGAGTTCACGGGATTTTTCACCCTGATGATGCCGGCTGGAGGCAGGCTCTCCAGACCGGGACTTTCGATCTCTCTGACTCTTTTCTTCCCGTCGACACCTCCTAGCTTGGACGCAACGACAGCGAATCTTCCACTAGAAAGGGCAAAAGAAGTCGACTGACCATTTCGAGCCTCGTCGCCCACTTCAAACAAGTGGCCTACGGCGCCCGCACACAGGATGGTTTGTGAATTATGAGTCTTACAAACTCTCAACAAATAGCCTGAATGGGACACATGGAATCTCCAGGTGCGCTCGTCACCTGAGGCTCCCGGATGGCGTGCCTCCCCTTGCTCCATCGGCGGGAGGCAGAGGCATCATTAGAGCCCACGGTGCCTGTGGGATAATCTTCTTAATCGACAAGGTAGAGAAACCCTTTCTCTGCCTAATTCTTCTTCGTCCGAGAAGCATCCCTTCACCCTCGAGAAGTTTCCAATCAAAACAGCATTGACGTCTACTTACCAAACCACAACCATGGCGACGTCCCACAGCGTAAGCTCAGGACTCACCAGATGCCTCGGAAATTTTGCTAATCGGTTATTTACTCGCTAGCCAACTGTCGAAGACGGATCCGAGAGAGACGGCACCTCCGAAGAGACCGAGAAGCCTCTTCTCGCGTACAAGCCAGAAGAGGAGATGTTGTTGTGGAAGAACCAGAGCCCCGTAGTCCTCTGGCAATTGCAGCTCTTCCTCGACGTAAGCAACGTTCGCTCTTGAAGGCCCCCAATCGATCATGACTGCCATGCTAATCGTCTCGTGTTTTCAGGCTCTCATCGCAGCTCATGACAAGGTCGGAGACTGTATGATCGACCTCGACATTGATGCCTACCTTACTAAGAGATGGCGTCGCCGCAAGCGCGTCAAGTACACGAGAGGACTAGCGGTTTACAAGGCCCAGCGAAAGGCAGTACTCAAGATTGAGATGGAAGTCATCCGGGGCGGTAATATGGGAGAGACACTCCAGGCCGCTTTCGACCGTGTTCAAATTGCCCTCATCGAGAATATGACGCGCGTCAATTTGTTGTTGAGCATGCTCTGAGTGAATCTCTTTGGCCTCGCGTTCTGGCTGTGGCGGACCGGAGTTCTGGATGGGACAATTGGCCGGAAGAGCCCAGCAACGAATCGACGATAGGAGGTGACTGAGTTTTAGCACGCGTGGCTCGAGATGAACCCACGAGGATAAATGCGATGAAATACCAACAGAACCACAGGACGATAAAATATGTGACACTAGTATGGGACATGGCTTGTAATTAAGCAGTTGGTCTGGCGGGAGGCAACCTGGGTCAACCTGGTGACAGCTGAGTCAGATCCCTGACAGAATTGCCTTCCTTCATTCATGCTCAGGCCTGAGGAGTACTTCAGCCTTACCGCCGTTGTAATTTGAATGAAAGACTCTGCCCTTTTGCAGATTTGACATGTCTTGGAGTTGATAGAATCTGCCCAGCGGAAAGAGCATGGGTCAGTAACATGGTTCCAACATAAGAAAAGGGCGTCAAAGAGCAGTTTCCTTGCTGAGCGCTTCGGATTTCCCACGGTTGTTACCTACCTGGTCGTTGATCTCACTCTCCCTATCTGTTGTCAAAGTCGCTTACCTTATCTTCCCACAGGTCCCCATCTTCCTACTTCCAACATCTCTAACGCTGCCTTAATCTCACAATAATCCGACTGCAACCGATCAGACACATTGAATCCTCGGCTTCCCGCTTCGCGCTTCGCGAACCAAGCAAGCTCATGCACTCATGTCGTACAAATAGTCGAACACCAAACATTTGATGATGGCCGGCTCAGTCGATGTACGTCTCCTTCCAATCGGCCCAGGGCAAGTTAGTTGCCAAAAAGGCCAGCAAAACCGTTGACGTACCATCAGGGCAACGATAACCCGCCAACGAGCACCCCCACATCTGAGGGCATAAACGCACAAGACATCGCGGCCGTGACAAAAATTGTGTCAGTCGCACTTGAACATCTGGACACTCGCGAAGTTGAGGAACAACCCAAGACTGCGGAAGACTACCAGTTGCTCCTGAAGAAGAAGGAAGAACTCATGACCTTGTACAACCGGGTCTTGCAGGTGCTTAACTTCACTCGACTACGGCGCGAAGGGGAATCTCAAGTTCCAACAATCGAAGCGGTTGATGAGCTTGAGACGGGTTATTCAACATTGCTCAGGGGCGTTGAGTCTGTTCTCGCACGAGTCATTGTGTGGATTGAAGAGTACGAACACGACAACGGGATCAACACTGGTGTTTCGGGGAGTTCATCTGCGCGTACGCCCTGATTAGAATCCTCTGCGCCTATCGAGAGCACTCCGATACGTGCAATGTCGGGCTCGGGCGACGCAAAACTCTGCGGCTATGTTCATATTAGCGTCGAGGATGGGAAAACATGGCGACAGGGTGAGCACATGGGAAGGCCACCGAGCTGTTTCCGTCAGAATGAGTGTAATTCAGGAGTTAAAGTTGGCCCTCACTGTTGGTTTTTGATTAAGTGTTTCGTCCCTTTCCGATGCTAATCAGGTCCAGGCTCTTTGGACGGTTGGACCTCCCCCCCTACATAAGTTCAGCCCCCATGTTCTTGGCAGCAACCTAAGTCAGAGAGGCCCTGACCGCGCTCTTAAGCTTCTCCTTCCCGCTGAGTCAGGTCCTTCAATTCAAATGGTTCAAGTACCCGGACCAGCCAAGTAGGTTGGTGGGCCCGGTTAGGGCACTCTGTTTTCTATAGGGGGCAATCTGCCAGGATGACTACTCAGGCCAAGTTTCTCCTTTGGTTGCGTCCTCGTTCTCGCTAATTATGAGACGTCAAAAGAGCGCTTTCAATCCGAGCATGAATAAAGCCCTAAACTTTAAGTTCACGTCAGCAAAACTGCGCGCGCGGGAGACTCCAAAACTCATTGACTCGAAGCGCTGGAGTTATTCTCGGCGGCCAAAACGGTCCAGGCTCCTAATGATCGGGACTGTCAATTGTGAAGCAAGGACGGGACTCACGGGAGGTAAATAAGGGCCCAAACCACTGTCGATGTGACGTTCAATGTGCAGGTGGCACCCTACAAACCACCCCTGTCCGTCAAATTTCTCGCTGTTATGAGGAGGACCATTGCAGAAATCCCTTCGCATTATGGCTGTGGTTCTGGTCTTATAGGCACTCTAAAAAAGCTTGCTTGAATAAAACGGAGCTTGCAAGATAGATGTCAAACGGTTCTAACTTGGGGGAGCTCATTGACGGCAGGAATCGTGCTCAAAATGGCGACCCCCGCCGGCTGCAAGCTGAGATCTCTAATACTGACCGTGGGCGACAAATGATACGTGAGACTCATGAGGGTGATTGTGAACAAAGAAGGCGCAAGAGAATATTGCCTTCACTACATACACTGTCTCTGTTTTCAATAGCAAATATAAGTCGCAACGGGACTCAAGCGACAGCGCAAGTATGAAGACCCCGAGGATCCCGAGGACCCCGAAGATGGATTACTGCGGAAATTGTATGCCAAGAAAGGGAAACAAAATTCAGCCGAATAAAAACAACACATCAGAAGCGGCTTAAAGGCAGATTATACGGGTGGTTCTATGAATGAGCCCAACTTGGGAAGCGAGATCTCACTTCCATGTACCGATTGCAAGTCACTCCGACACCCGCAAACTACCAATGCTCAACAACGGGACCGGGGAATCGTCTCTCCGAGACAGACAGAGGTAGTTGTTCGAACAAATTCAGATGTAAGGCCAGAAGCTGGATGAAGGAGACTTTGGAACGCAACAAAGATGACCCAAGACGAAATAAGACTCGACACCAGGGGGGGGCGGAAAGGTCTTCATACCCGATCTGAATGAGAGATACAACAGTAAGCAGCATGCTTGAAGATATAAGATGTTGGTTGAGGGCTCAAAGCGATGAGGAACAGCAAAATTTTCATGGCTTCCCGGACGAGGAAGGGGTCTATGGGACCATTAGGATGGCACGCCATTCATCATTTGTATTTACATCCGGCCAAACTTGAGTTCGATGAATCTTTCTCATCAAGTGGGTGGTTCATACAGGCAACACAGCGTAAAGAGACTTTGCTACAACCCGGATTAATGCTGTTGAGAGCTCGATAAGAAGCCGCCCCGTTCCGTCTTCCATTATATGGCAGTTGACAAGTTCCTTTCTTCGTCCGGTAGCTAGACAGAGAGAAATACCTCAGGCATCTTGTCTGTAAGCTGGAGTGCCTGGAATGCTTCTCACCTAAGGCCAAGGTGAGGATAACGGTGAAGGTGAGGTGAGTCTGGGTTTGATGGCTGGCACCTGCCTCAACCTCCAAGCCTAGCTCCTCCCTCGATCGCGCCTTCCCACTCAGGAATTTATGAGACGGTCTCCCAACGCGCTTTCAAAATAATCTCGCGTTCTACCAGCCGCATCCTCTATTTTCTCTCACCCGCGCATTGCCTCACTCTTCCCCTCTCATACACACGCTTCCGCTCGCACTTCGCACAGTAATTCATTTTACCTTGCGATCTTCACATTCAAGCATCCCCCAAAACAAAAGCTCAACAAGTATCACAAGATAACGCGTACCAAGAGTAAGAATTTCTTTGCGCACCAATTTTGATTCATTTTGCTGATCATTGCAGGTGTACCAGTTCGCGAAGATGCAACTCGTTCCTAAGACGGTCAAATCTGTCGACCTCATCGAGGTGAGTTCTCACACTGGTTTTTTTGACAGTGATGAATCTACGATGTGATTGATGAGCGCCGATGATTACAATACTGACCATGGATCTGTAGGAGCTCATGATGGAGAGAGCCGCCTTGAATGCCAGTCTCGACGAAACCAACAAAAAGATTGCTGCGGCTCAGGAAGCCTTTGAGAATGAGAAGCAGCAGCACATTAACATGGAGGCCGACAACAAGAAGCACATCATCCAGGCCTTGAATCGTGAGCCGATTGAGCTCATGGCAAACGAGCACCACGTTCACCGCCCTGCCGCTTCTGGCTGCACCGGCAGCGCTATGACGACTGAATATACCAACAATATCGAGGGCACTAACAACGTCAGCCCTACTAAGGACACTGTTGACGATTGCTGCTGGGGACATATGCATAGAGCGTCCAAGGACGCCTTGTCTGGCTCGAAGGGCATCAAGTCTGAGCGTTCAATTCTGTCCGACATCTCTTCCCTTGGGGACACCTCTGTCAATCGTAACTCCCCCTTGTTCCACCGTTCCGTCAGCCCGTCAAAGGAGACGCCTGTCTTTGATCAGGTGCTCCCCAGCGACAACACCGCTGCTTTCATGGCTCACATCATGCATGAACTCAAGAACGAGCTCAAGAAGGAGCTTCAGGCAAGAGTCGACGGAGAATTCAAGCGCTCAATCGAAGAGCGTCTCATCCAGGAGCTCGCTCAGGAGCTCACCGGCGACATCAAGGGCCGCCTCTACTATGAGCTCAGAGAGGAGCTGAAGCGTATCCTCAAGCGCGACATCACGTTCAAGGTCAAGCAGGACGTCAAGCGCGAGATGAGACTTGAGATGGTTAGCCAGCTAAAGTACGATATCATGGAGGACGTGAAGGGCGGTGTCATTGCCGAGCTTAAGGAGATCCAGAACGAAGTCAACAATGAGCTGAAGAATGAGATCAAAGAAGAGGTCTTCAACAGAATCAAGGTCGCTCTCACGCAAGATGCCCTTGACCAGCTCAAAGACACCATGAAGGGAGAGATCAAGAACGATGTCTTCAAAATTGTGCACGACGCCCAGCGAGCCATCGGCACCACTATTGCGGCCAAGACTGAGGAGCACATGCTCCCTGCCATCCGAGGTGCTGTTCCCATCATTCAAGAGTGTGTCGTCGCCAACTTGCAGGACGCTCTCGACTTCTACTTCAAGAACTAGCTTTCCAAGCAGATGGATGATGCCATCAAGAAGAAGACCGGCGATGACTCTCAGTGGATGCTTTCTCAGATCGAGGCGTTGGTCCCCGTTACCGTTGCTGCCGAGGTTACCAAGGTCAAGGACGCTATGAAGACCGATCTGCACAAGGATGTGAAGGCCGAGATCGAGGAGGACTTTGGAGAGAACATGGAGGGTCTGGCCCGTGATGTTATTCAGGAGGAGCTTGAGGCCTTTGAGACGCGTACCCAGCCGAACACAACTTATGTGTACCATATGTGAGATCCTTCTAGCTTACGGTTGGTCATGCGCTCTTGGCAAAGTCTAGATATGCTTTCAAGACCAAAGTCTTTAGTCTTTGGGATTAAGAAGGTGAAGGATTGGGCTACCTAGTGGATCACCGGCTTCAGTATTGGGATTCAAGGATAGGGTAATCAGAGACGGCAATTCCAAGGTTACAGTCAGCCTAGCATTCCCGACTGTGTGTCGAATATCCTAAATGTGATGAGAAAATGCAACAAGATCAGCTTTCCTACCAAACTTCCTCGAACGACGAAAGCCCTCATTAAGGGTGATTCGTTGGAGCCCAGCCCAGTTCCAAACCGAGGACACCTGAGATCATGTTGTCCTGCTTGTCTACAAAGAGTCTACGGCACACCCAAGGTGGTGCCTCCATCTTACACTTCCAATCTATTTGGGGCGTAAGCAAGATTGCTATCCACAACGACGAAGCCAAAGGCAATGCTCTTCGGTATGTACTATTTGGAAAGGCGCGTTGTCAAAGTACTTTTAAGCCGCAATCAACGGTCAAAAACGCCACAGGTCTGGGAATGTCACCGGACGAATGTGGTTGGCAGAGAGGGATGGTGAGGAGGCAGTGCAGCGGGCTTGCAGGCCAATGGGGACCACCGGAAGACACTTCCAGCGGGCCGGACCGGGGTCCGACAGCAGATTGGCGCAAGTGTGGTGGGAAGCAGGGGCACGTCCTTAACCAAAGGTAGTCCAGCGTATAACCCAACTAAGGTATCAGCAGCCTACTGGAATCATCCAGGTAGTCAACGTTTCTCGTGTAGAAGTTGCCCAGCTGTTTGGCATTCGGCGTGGTGCGCTTGTTCTGGTGAGCGGAGATAAGTGAGATTTGTAGCTTCCACATGAGGAAGTACTCCAGCCTGCCAAGAATTACGATTACCAACTGATACATGTACAATACCTCTCTGAGCCATGTTCAGAATTGGTCGACTCGATGGTCTCCCTCAGTCGCTTCCCATCTGAGTTTGGAGACTCAAACGTTGTGGTTGGTGCCTGACAGGCACGACACGTCGCGCGACGTGGGCGCGTGGCCGTTTGCACAGAATCTGCCTCCACCCGCAACCTTTCTGAACCAACACTTTAGCTTACCCTCTTTACCCTCCGCATTCCCAACCTGTCCAAATACTGTCAAACGGTACCCTCCACATTTATCTTCAACACAGGCCAATCTTCATCCCCAGTACTCTCCATACAGATAGTAGCCTTCACCAACCACACGAATCTGCCCCCATATCGACCAGCCAAATCCCCTCACAATGGCCAAAAAGAAGAACGTATCTAGGAAAAAGCAGAGAAAGGGGACGAAGGCCAGAAAGATCCACCAAGAGACCACTGAGCAGTCGGGTAATCAGGGCGGCAAACAGGACAAGCCCAAGAAACAAGTGGCCACCGACGAGAATGGCAGAAAGATTACGGTCATCATGGGAGGAGAAGCGGTATAGTTGGCCCTCGCAGCACACATTTTAGGTCATGAATCTTGGAAAGCTGACTGTTACCGCCGCAGGAGATGGAAAAGATCTGGGACCGCATGCAGGTGACCTTTGCCATTCAATCTCAGTCCAGTACGATCTCCGAAAGGCTCGAGAGCGTCCGCTCAGCCATCGAAACCAAGTCGACCACGAGCGATCAGGAACCAGAAACCTTTAAGAAGGTGGAAGATGAAGCTGAACAACTACTCGGTCGCATGAGAGATGCCGTTAACGCCAACAATAGGCAGGCTGCTCAGCAAGGTGTGCAGATTTCGGACCTGGTTTGAGCACCTCCATAACAGCCCACAAGTATTTTTGCTAACAAAACCTAGGTTTCTATGGACTTGTCACTTATGGAAGACTTACATCTCAAAGAGGTTGTGACGGGATTCGAGTTGGACCTGCTCAAAGTGACGATGAGTTTGAATTGGTGCGTCAGCGGTCTGCATCAAGCTACTCAGCCGGTGGACCCTGACGGCCTTGACTGTGTCCCTTTGGACAATGACAGAATGCGTCTGAGAGGTGGTTGAGGAGCTTCAAAGGCGGTGGCCATTCTGATGTGGAACATTGCGTCGAGGCTTATCTGTTGTGTTTGCAGCAGGGAGATATTTGAAGGGATATGAGGAAACAGGCACAAAGGCTGCTTTGTGAAATCACACGTACAAGGCCATGTGGCCAACCATTCTGCTGACTTGATGCTGTTTTTTCTGAATGGAACATCAAAAGGGCAGTTCAACTGACGCTGGGACATCAACAAAGTGATCGCGGTGGGTGGGGCGAAAAGAGGGCATTATTGGCTCTAGGCTCGAAAAAATACAATTTCGAGACTCACTGAATTTTCTGGACCAAGTACGTATCGAATCAGGTGACGGGATCACACAGTGAGAGATACCCGGGCAAATACCCAGCTGGAGAGATGGACATGGTAGGTGGGCAGGAGCAGATGAAGTTGAATTTCGGCCGGGAAGGAACGACCAGTGCCCACATGGTTCGGCGGCTGTGGAGCTGCCACATCCAAGAAGGCTAGGTACTCCGGGCTGTCCCCGCCTCCCGAACTCCCTTCCTAAACGTGATATGAGGTTCCACTGCAGGTTCTAATTGCACCAAGTTACGAGGAGTTGCGAGGTATGAGGTCGAACAAGATTTGCGGTGGTAGGACTGATTGGTGTTACTGGCTCAATAAGGAACAATAGAATACATTCCCCGGTTGTGGTGATATCGATAATGATGCTCACTCATCAATCATCATTCCTAATCCGACTGCAAAACCAAATGTGTACTTCGTCTTGGGTGCCTAGAGTCAACCAGTATGCAAGACTTGAAAGCCGCATCAGCGAGGAACAACAAGGCAATGGCCATTCCCTTAAATCACTATCTTCCTGGTCCATGAACTCAGCACCGGTCACCTCGGTCTTAAGCAACGCGCGAGTCTCTTGTAGCTCGTTGTGAAAGTCGTGGTCCAGCTGCCGTACGAGCTCGAACATGTGGATAATGCTAAACATCTGAGGAAGGGATTGAGCGCCACAACAGTGGCAATGTGCGCCCACAGTATTCCTCAATGTGAGATAACCGACGATATCCGTGATCACCTCCACACTTTTCTAGCTCAACTATGTGTTACTCGCGATGATCGCTTCATGTGGATGACGCCACCCTTTGTAGCTTTCAACAATTGATTCATTCCAGCCAAATGATCGGAGCAAGTTGAAGACATCAAACTTGGTGGATTTTGTTAGTTCAGGCTATATTTGCTCCAAGGACATTTTCCCTAAGACTACGCACTTACTCTCGGCTTCGAGGATAGGTACCCTATGTCGGCTAGATGTGGCGGTTTCATCGTGAAGATAGATGACTTTGTGATCATTAGTCAGGGTCTTATACACCTGTGAGACACTCTAATTGTCAGATTGGAAGTTTAATTCGGCCGCGGCATACGGCCAACTGCGTAGGGGCTAATTAGGGGCCCTATTTATAATTATTATAGCTAGCCTAACTTACGGTTAGAACCTCTTTTTTATACTTATATAAAAATTTATATAGTTTAATTAATCTCTTTATTAACTTATAGTTCGAACTAATTACCCTATAATAAGGATACTAATACTAATTAGTAATTAAATTCTATTATTATAAATTAGTAAGGTATTTTATTATATAAAAAAAACGACTTTTTAATATTGTATAGGATAAGAGATTCGTATTAATTAATTTTATAAAAATAAATAAAAAAAAAAGCGATTTTTAAATATTATATAGAATTAAGTAATTATAGTTTTTTATTACTTATAAGAAGTCGACGTTTATTATATTAAACTATATTAATTAATAAAACTACTTAAATAATTAGTTTTTTATTATTATTTTAAATAGCTTTTTTATTAAATAACTTCTTTATAGCCGGCTTATAATTAGAAATTAACTAGTTAAATTAGTAAAAAGAAATACTTTTATAGTAACTACCTACTTAATAAATTAATATAACGAACGAGCTTAATAATATAGTATAAAAAAGTACTATATAATTAAAAAAAAGGATTTCTAAACGTAAATATTCTTATTTAGTAATAAAAATAACTTTATAAGAGTTATAAAACTAAGAGATTTATAATATATAAAAAGGTTTATTATTATAAAAATTTTATAAATATAATTATAAACTTATAATCTAAACGACCTTTTTATAGCTCCCTTAACTACCCTCTAAGTATTATTTTAAAATATAATATAAGGGACGGTTTTATGTGGTGGTTTTTTTTTCCGGCTTTACAGGCACAAAAGATCGACCTTAACGGGATCACGCTTTCAAGGGAAATCACACGATACAGTACACTTTTTAACTACACAATACGCGCAATGTATCCCAAGCACGCGCTCAACGCAATATAGTGATTTCGATACGAAAACCGCCATTCAATTCGGGATGGGCAAGCTGCCCTGCGGCGGCGCCGGCCGGAAAGGTCGACGGCAGAGGTCGGCCGTAATGGTTGGCCGCAATGGTCGGCCGCAATGGTCGGCCGCAATGGTCGGAGGCGGCCCTCAACCGCAGAGGTTCTGAACTTTGATGGCGACGTAGAGGTTTCCGGAGAAAGGGC